AAGTAAATATGTATATATTATGAGAAACTCCACTATGAATAGATTTGTGGTTAAGTTGTTGGACTATTTGTATATAATTCTATGGCTAGATATTGCAGAATACTGATGGAACGCAAAAAAACGAAGGTGGAACGCAGGCCATTTCCGGATATACATGACTTCCGGGTTTACGAGTACAGTTGGAACGCATAGCACTTCCGGTTTTTGGAACGCACGGAAGTGCCGAAAATAACCGGAGAATTACAAAAATGATGAAGATCAACTGTGAACACCTGGGAATAAGATCTCCAACAGATGAAACTCATCTACACAGGACCAATGAGGAAGGACAGAGAGGCACATGTGATTAATTACATTTAGGGATTAGCCCTATTTAAAGGACTTGAGGGTGGAGGGATGTTAGGCTGTTTTTGTGATTGTACTGCATTGATTGTTATTTTAATATTTTGGTCCCTGAGGAAGTCCCATATTCTGTAGAAGGGACGAAACGCGTAGGACCTTTATTTGTATCTATTTTATATTTTTAAACAATTAAAGCCGCTTTTTTCATATCTTCACCTGGAGTCCTGCATTTTGAGTGGAAGTGTCCAGGGGATTTCTCTAGCCCCCCATATCATCAGGGGTGGCACCATATATGCCTGAACTGTCCAATATCCTGTGAGTGCATTTCATATTGCGCAGTGTTAATATTTTAAAACTGTATTACACTATACCTCTTTTTATTTATCTTCATTTAGAAAATCAACAGGTTACCTCGTTGTGTTTTGTATATTCTTAGTATGGTTAAAGACTGGGCCCCTGCTGTATGCCCAGTCGCCTCCTGCAAGAAAACAAGATGTCTCTATAGAGTAAAACATGGCAATCTCGGACTGCACTCAAATTGTTTTACTACTTACCATGGGGTTGCTCCAGAGGCCTCCTGGAACCAAAACAACTACAGCGTGCTGTAGTCATTATGTAGCTTAAGTATTCCTTTAACTTCATGTCAATCAAGTGGTGCCCAGAGTCCCCTGGTTCCTTCTTGCCTTTTATAACAGTTTAATACTAAATAGTTTAATACTAAAGCTTAGTGCTCCAGGTGCCAGTCTGGCTTCCTCTCCTCTGGCTACAAATGGAGAGGCATTTCCTTGAGTAGCAGTGATAGACT